ATCAGCTTGTCAATTTCTGCAAAGAAGTAAGCTGGGATTCTGGTGGGGCGATGTACTGAATCTCTACATAAGTTTGGGGAGTGTTGCCATTTTAACGATGTTAAGTCTTCTGATCCATGAACATGGGATATTTCCCCAATTATTTAGATTTTCTTTTTTTTTTTCTACAATATTTTGTAGCTTTCCAAGTATAAGTTCTGTACTTCTTTTGTTAAATTCGTTCCTGTTCTATTCTTTTTGATGCTCTTGCTAATGGAATTGTTTTCTTTTTAAAAAAATTTTAAATGTTTATTTATTTTTGAGTGAGAGAAAGAGAGAGAGCAAGCAGGGGAGGGGCAGAGAGCGGGAGACGCAGAATCCAAACCAGGCTCCAGGCCCTGAGCAGTCAGCACAGAGCCCAACGTGGGGCTCGAACTCACAGACCGTGAGATCACGACCTGTGCCGAAGTCGGACGCTTAAACGACTGAGCCATCCAGGCGCCCCTGGAATTGTTTTCTTAATTTCATTTTTGGATTTTTCATTGCAAATGTATAGAAATACAGCTGAGTTTTGTATATTGATCTTATCTTATTAATGTAGTACATCGTATCAATAAAATGAAAAGCAAAAATCAGCAATCTTGCTGAACTGTTCATTTTTTTAGTGGAACTTTAGGATCTTCTATATATAAGGTAATGACATTCTGCAAATAGAGATAGTTTTATGTCTTCTTTTCTAATCTCACACTTCTTTCTCTCGCCTTATTGCCCTGTTTAGAGCCTCTAATATACTGCTGAATAGCAATGGTCACGGTGGGCATTGTTGTCTCACTCCTGATCGTAGGGAGAAAGCATCCAGTCCTTTACCATTGACTATGATGTTAGCTGTGAGATTTTTTTGTTTTGTTTTGTTTTTTAATGTTTACTTTGTTTTATTTTTGAGAGAGAGCGAGCAGGGAAGGGGCAGAGAGAGAGAGAGGGAGAAGACACAATTCCAAGCAGACTCTGCACGGTCAGCACAGAGCCCCACATGGGGCTCGAACCCATGAACCGTGAGATCATGACCTGAGCCGAGATCAAAAGTCAGGTGCTTAACCACTGAGCCACCCAGGCACCCTAGCTGTGAGGTTTTTTGTTGTTTTTTTTTTTAACAGGTAACTCTAGTTCCCTTCTACTCCTGTATTATTTAGTGTTTTTATTTGAAACCGTGTTGGATTTCGTCAAGTACTTTTTCTGCGTCACTTGAGAAAAGCCTGTGATTTGTGCTTTTTATTTTATTGATATGATGTACTACAGGCGTTGATTTTCAGATGGTAAACCAACCTTGCATTCCTGAGATAAATCCCACTTGGTCATGACGTATAATTCTTTTTATTCTTTATGTTGCTGGATTTGGTATGCTAGTATCTTGTTGATTTTTAGTGGGGGGGAGGGGTTGCATTCATGTCCATTAGGGCCGCTGATCTCTATCTTCCTTCTCTTGTGAAGTTTGTCTGCTTTTGATGTCCGGGCCAGTACCTGCTTTATAGGACAAGTCGGGAAGTGTTCCCTCTTCTTCTGTTTTTTTGGATGAGTTTGTGAGAATTGGTATTGATTCTTGAAATGTTTATAGAAGTGGGCAGTGAAGCCATCTGGGTCTGGGTTTTCCTGTGCGCGAGTAATATTTTGATTACGAATTCAAGCTCTTGCCTGCTTATAGGCATTTCGGATTGTCTCTTTCTTTCAGATCTTCCAGATTTTTCTGGAGTAGGTTTTGGTAGCGTATGTCTCTCTAGTGGCTTAGATCCTGATGATCATGTTCTTTGTGGCCTTTCAGTCCTTGTTGGCATTGACTGAGTTCTCCCTACGTGCCAGGCATCTTTCTGTGCATTAGCTCATGCAGTTTTTATACACCGTTGATCAACTAGGTAGCGTTATTACCATCTCCGCTCCACATACCTAGAAACTGAGGCAGAGAGAAGTTCACTAGTGGGTCAGGGTCACACAGCCAGGCAGTAGAGGGAACAGTAGAGCTAGGATTGGAGCCCGGGTGGGGGCGCCTGGGTGGCTCCGTCGGTTAAGCGTCCGACTTCGGCTCAGGTCACGATCTCGCGGTCTGTGGGTTCGAGCCCCGCGTCGGGCTCTGTGCTGACAGCTCAGAGCCTGGAGCCTGCTCCCGATTCTGTGTCTCCCTCTCTCTCTGACCCTTCCCCATTCATGCTCTGTCTCTCTCTGTCTCAAAAATAAATAAACATTAAAAAAAAAGGGATTGGAGCCCGGGTGGTCTGGCCACACAGCCGTCTATGCTGTCCCTCTCCCTGCTCTCCCGAGGCCCTTCTGTGTGCTAGAAGCTGGGAGGACAAGAATAGGTCAGGCCTGGTCATTGCCCAAGTCACCGCCCAGAGACCCCAACCTACGAGAAGGAGGTATCTTATGTCTGACGTGAGCAAGGGGCTGGGGAAGTTCTATGTCTCCTCTCTCCCAAGTGCTCAGCAGAAGGGCCTCCCAGAGAACCTTAACCCAGGATGCTGGTGCCCCACCCGGCACGAGTTTGGAGCCGGGGGATCGTGCCCAGTACGTCTGGATCCCCCAGGCCTCTGCAGTTATCTCTCCCGGAGAGGAAGAGGCAGACCGCTTGGAGCGCAATCGCTAGGCAGAAATCAGGAGCGACCAGACATCACTCCACATAATTATTTCTGCATAATGACTTCTGCTACTTGATTCAGTCTTGGGCGACGACTGTAATCTTTATCTGTCACGAGAAAGCTGGAGGCCGGGGAGCCCCTGTGGCTTAGCGATAGAGCCAGGAGGAAATTTGCCATTTGAGTTCGTGGAGTGTTCCCAAGCAGCTGGGGAGCCAGAGAGCCCTCAAGGCCTCTGGACTGATGGACCCTCCTTCTGCTGGGAAGCCTGGTGTCGGAGCTGGCCCAGCCTCTGAGGGCATGCAGGCCCCAGGCTTTTGTCACGGCTTGGGGAAACGGAATGGCAGAGATGACAGGGCGTGGCCAAGTCACAGGGCCGCTCAGCGGCAGAGGCCCGCCGGGACCAGACCTCTTCTCTGCTCTCCTGCCACCCAGTACTTTCCCCAGGAGAGCTGGCGCGTGTCCCAGTGAGACAGGAGGAACTGTGGTAGAAGGCGTCTGTGTGGACTGGAGATGTTCTCGTCTGGCATTCGGGGCACGGGGCTGGTCACCGAGAGCGTTGGCTGTTCGGGACTGACCCTGGGAGGCTGGAAATGGCGGGGCCTTTGTAGCCCACAGCCAGCTGACCTGCACCCAGGCGAGGTGTGGTGGCATTGATCACGCGGTTTGGCCGTGGGGTGTGTCCTGGAGGGCAGGGTCCCGCGGAGAGGGGTGTGGGCTGGGGGAGCGCCTACTCGGGCTCCAGAGCCCCCCTGACCGGCGGGGGCTCGCTCACTGCATTCCCACAGTCTCCTATAAGCCCCTGTAATTCATGAGGGCGTCTGGAAAGCACAGAGCATGGGTTTAGGGATTGGCGTTATGGGCAGCCATCCTGCTTCGGCTCGTGGAACCGTGGCCAGGGTCCCTGAGTGTGTTTGCTCCTCTTGTCAACTGAGGGTTAGAATGGGCTTTCCCTGCTAGGACCGTTAAAAGGGCAGGATCATAAAATGATGACTGGACACAAAGCTTCTAGCACATCCTGCTGCCAGCCGTTTACCGGGTTTCACAAAGGTGACCTTGGGGAGGACCTTTGACCCTATCTGGGGCTCGACCTCCTTGAGTGTCAAAGCCGGCTTACCGAGTGCAAGATAACTTCGCTAAGATCGTCGATTTGAAAGTGTCTTTTAAAACTATGGGACGTGGGGCGCCTGGGTGGCTCAGTCGGTTGAGCGTCCAACTTCGTCTCCGGTCACAATCTCACAGTTTGTGGGTTCGAGCCCTGCGGCAGGCTCTGTGCTGACAGCTTGGAGCCTGGAGCCTGCTTCGGATTCTGTCTCCCTCTTTTTCTGCCTCTTCCCTGCTCACACGCTGTCTCAATCTCAAAAATAAATAAAGAATTTAAAAATATGGGGCGAAGCAAGCTCAGAGGACTTTTAGGGCAGTAAAACATCTCTGTATGATGCTGTAATGGTGGATATACATCATCATATCCTTGTCGAGACCCCCAGAGCGTCCACCGCCAAGAGTGAACCCTAATGCAAACTATGGATTGGGAGTGATAACGTGTGTTTGTGTGCGTTCACCATCTGTAATAAACATGCCCCGTCTGTAGTGGGGCGTGTTGATCGCAGGGAAGGCTGTGCGTGGGGGGCACAGGGGTGCCGGAACTCTGTGCTTTCTGCTCCAATTTGCTGTGAACATGAGACTGCTCTAAAAATAAAATAAAGTCTCTTTTGGGGTGCCTGGGTGGCTCAGTCGGTTAAGCGTCCGACTTCAGCTCAGGTCACGATCTCGAGGTCCGTGAGTTCAAGCCCCACATCGGGCTCTGGGCTGATGGCTCAGAGCCTGGAGCCTGCTTCCGATTCTGTGTCTCCCTCTCTCTCTGCCCCTCCCCCGTTCATGCTCTGTCTCTCTCTGTCTCAAAAATAAATAAAAAAACGTTAAAAAATTTTTTTAAAAATAAAAAAAATAAAGTCTCTTTTAACAAATTCACATTATATAATGAAATAAAGTATATACACAAAGTACCGTGTGTGTGTGTGTGTGGTGCTCCCTAAAAGCACAGTGACCTTCCAGTGAGAATTTCTGATGGGAAGACGATGTATGGCTTTTCTCTTCCATGTCTTAAATCCCAGCCCTGAACTTAAATAATGTAATCGGCACGTACGTTCTGTATTGCTGCGACAGGGTAGAATTTTAACGGAGCGAAGTGCACTCTGCTTTCAATAATGTCCATGTGATGAGTTTGGGGGCACTCACTGGTCAAACACCGATTATTTATTGAGCGCCTGTTGCGTACCGACAGCACAGAAGTGAAGACAGTGCCTTCCCGCCCTCCTGGAGCTCACGGTCCATGGGGAGCAGATCCAGCCCTTTATTTCGCAGGAGCAAAGGAGCGAGGGGGGCCCCCCGGGTACCTGCATGGCCCGGGGGCCCTGTTTTCTGGGGGTGAAGGAGCTACTTGGCTCCGGTCCTCGGGACCACTCCAGTGAGGGCATATAAACAGTGACCATTGTAGGAGATGACCGTGTGTTCTGAGAAAATAGCCGAGAAACGTGTTTGGATCGGGAAGACAAATGGGTTGGCAGGTGCGGAGACAGCGTGAGAGGGCACTGGAGATCGAGAAGGAGCCAGCCGGCGGGGGGGGGGGGGGGGGGGGGGGGGGGGGGGGGGGGGGGGGGGGGGGGGGAGGCCGTGTGGCCCCGGATGTGAGAGCCCAGGACTGCCTGGGCTCCGTTCTTGCTCTGCCGCAGTTTCCCCATCTGTACTAAGGTGATGCCCACCTCATAGGTTGATGGGAGGATTAAATAGGTTAGCGCAAATAGATGATGCACAGAAAACTTTTCGTACGGCACCTGGCAACGGGCAGTTGGTGGCCACGAGGATGTTATAATTACACTTCATCGTCATGTGCAGGGTGCAGCCGAAAGGGGTGAAGGAGGAGGTCGGCCGTCAGTGAGCCACGCATGCAGGGTGTTTGGAATGTGCCAGAAACTGGTGGTGGTGGTTGAAGGCGGGGATTGGTCGGGGCACCCAGGATGCCCGTGGTGCGTGGGCGTGTCTTCCCGTCGTGACCCTGTGACTCCGGGAACCGTTGGCTAGAGGTTGGCGATGCCATCTGACCTTTCTTGCGGGCGGGACGGGAGCTTGGCTGGTGGAGCCCCCGTGAGCCCACCCCGTGCGCGACCCTCAGGGCCCTTACGGTGACCCTGTGGGCCAGAGCGTCGGGTCGGGCCGCAGGCGGCGTGGTGACGGGCCGCAGTGACTCAGTGATGCAGCCAGAGCCCGAGCCCCGGGTGTGCAGACCACAGAGGCCGTGGCCAAGGGCCACACCCGGCGTTTGCGCCAGCTTGTGATAGCTGGTGACCTCACCCAAGGGGTGGCCGGGGTCCCACTGGGAGACTCGTCCCATCAGTATCGTGGGGACTTTCCTCCCTCCCAGTGCTCATGGCCCCTGGCCTCAGTGGCTCCCAGGAACCCAGGGCTTTCCTGTGCTTAGTGTGGGGCTTGCAAAAGCTATAGTTCCCCCCAGTAAGTGCACAGAAGCAACCGGAAAGGCAGTGGGCTCTGGGCCAGGGGTGTCTGTACCCTAAGTGACCTGTTGTTCCTCCCTTCCAGGGCATGGTCTAGCGGCCCAGACAAGGACGTGGAACCAGCCCCCAGAGTTTCTGGTCCCGGACGTCTCCGCCTCCGCTTGGCCTTGGGTAAGTCACTTTGGGAGGTCACGTGGGTCTGGAAGCAGGTGAGGACTGGCGGGCGGGGAGGGGGGGGGTTCTACCACTCTGTGGGGTCCTGCCTGCGGCTGGCAGACAGGGATTTCACCCAGCTCAGTGGGAAGAGCAGGGAAGACCAGAAGTCGGGGAGCAGGGGGACAGCCTGCCCAGGACACCTGAGGTGGTCAGGAACCTGAGGCTCTGAGATGGAAAGAACCCACCCAGGTCCCGTGATCAGCTCGGTTCTCGCCCTAAGCTGGCCCGTCTTTCTCGTAGGTCCTTTGACCTCGGGTGCTTTGATTTGGGAATGTATCCAGTGACGGGAGTAGGGCATTCCCGAAAGCTCCCACCTCCTAGGTCCTGCCCACCTCCCCCTCCCACAGAGGGGAAAGAGCTGCCTTCCCAGGGCCCCGGGGCCGAGCCTCCCCACCCCCACCTCCCTTCGCCCCCAGCCCTCCCCATGGTCTCACTGGGGCCTCTGAAAGCTTGGTGCAAACGCTGCCCCCTTCTCTGGCCCCACCTGTGTCCTTCCAGGCTTTTCTCTGCCCTCTCGTGGACTTCCCCCAGCCCCTCCACTCTGCCGCCCTTCCCGCCTCCCAAAAAGACTGACCACGGGAACCCCTTTCTCGCTCACAGCCCCGTGATCCTCTTGTCCACCAGCACGGCAAAGCCCTGACCAGGCCCGGCCCCCCGGACCCGGAGCCCAGCTGCTCTCCCCTCAGTCAGGGGGTCAAGTCCACAGTAATTAGCATGACCTGCCAACTCTTGGTCTCTTTGAATCCACCACCCTCCTGGCCCCATCTCAGGCCACCGCCTGCTTTGGGTTCTAGGCAGGAGCCCGGGGAAGCAAAATGCCTGTAATGTTCGAACGCCGTCCTGACCCCAGGGCTGCACCTGTTACCTGTCCTCTGTCCTCTAGAGGCACTCTGGAGGGCTCCTGTGCCACCTGTTGGCTCCCCCGCCAGGAGGTGCTGGCTGGGCACTGAACAAGCCCTCCTGGGGGCCCAGGTCCCCGCTGCCTCTGCTGTGACGTCTGTCGCTCTTGCCGGGCTCCGTGTTCGGCTCTGTTCCCGAGTGAGGAAGTAGGTGGTGAGTGGGAGAAAGGCCTCTGGCTTTGGGTTTGTGTCCTCCAGATCCTACTGGGTGCACTTAACAGCCTCCCCAAGTCCAAGTCTCCTCTGTAAGAGGATTAGTCACACCTCCCTCTTGGGGTGGTTATAAGAGTGGGGGCCGGCGGGGGTGGGGGTTGGGGGGGAGCCTCAGCTGCCTCACAGCCCTTCTTCCTCTTCCTCTTCCCCGGCTTCTGGTAATTATGACAGTGTCTGTCATTAGTCATCGGCCCTGCCCTGCCCTGCCCTGCCCACCCCAGTGCTGTGAGCACCAGTTGAGGCCAGGGGTGTGGGGTCTGTTGCCAAAGACAGAAGGAGGCAGCACGGGGGAGGGGCCAGGCCCAGCCCGGGAGAGCCCACCTTCTAGATCCTAAGAAGCATGTAATTCTCAGCTTCCCACCCGGAAGGAATCCCCTTTAACGCTCAGCCGTGAGGCTAAGATTTGGACCCCAGACCTATTGAAGTGTGCGTATTTCCACCCTAATAAAGCCCCTTAAGGTTGCTGGGTGCCCAGCACGAGAGCCGGCGTGCCCGAGGGGGCAGCAAGGCCGGGAGGCAGGTGCCAGGCTGCTGCTTGCCTTTGAGCGGACGTGAGCGTTAGCAGGTCAGACCGGCAGACTCCCAGCAGCCCCCAAACGTTGTCGCTTTCAGACCAGGCCCAGACACCCCTGCACTTCTCCTTGCTGACTGTCCCCCGAGGAAGCCCTCATCCCCCCGGGTTGGGGGGGGCTCCGCCTCGCTTGTGTGGATGTTGGGGGTGTGCCCTCTGCCTTGGTCTTCCTGAGGGAGGAGTGTTTCTCCCACTACCCCGCCCTTCCTTCTCTCATCCGTCCTGTTCCCCCTTGTGAACGTGCTCCCAGGGTTGGGACCGTGCTCCTGGGGGTTGGGACCGTGTTCCCTGGGATTGGGACCGTGCTCCCAGGGGTCGGGAGCGTGCTCCTGGGGGTTGGGACCGTGTTCCCAGGGATTGGGACCGTGCTTCCGGGGTTGGGACCGGAGCCCCAGGCGGGGCCTCTGCCTCAGGGGATAGATTAGTGTGGAAGGTGCTGCCTTCACCAGCTTCCCCTCCTTCCTTCCTCAGCTCTATGGGAGCTGCAAGATGGGAGGGGGAAAATCTGGCTCTGTGCTCCCTGGACGTTGCCGGTGTGCAGGCACGCCTCGGAGACCCTGCAGATTCGGTTCCAGAGCACCGCAATAAGGCAAATATCCCAATAAAGCGAGTCGATGAATGTTGTGGTTTCCCAGTGCATATAAAAGTTACGTTTGTACAATACTGTAGTCTACTGAGTGTGAAATAGCATTAAGTCTAAAAAAACCCACCAGTGTATATACCTTAATTTAAAAATACCGGGGCACCTGGGTGGCTCAGTCGGTTAAGCATCCGACTTCGGCTCAGGTCATGATCTCGAGGTCTGTGAGTTCGAGCCCCGCGTCGGGCTCTGTGCTGACAGCTCAGAGCCTGGAGCCTGCTTCGGGGTCTGTGTCTCGCCCTCTCTCTGACCCTCCCCCACTCGCTCTCTTTCTCTTTCAGAAATAAATAAACGTTCAAAAAAATTAAAAGACTACTTCATTACTGGAGCCCCTGGGTGACTCAGTCGGTTAAGTGTCCGACTCTTGATTTCAGCTCAGGTCATGATCTCACGGGTCGTGAGATTGAGCCCTGCGTGAGCTCTGCTATCAGCACAGAGCCTGCTGGAGATGCTCTCTCTACCTCTCTAAAAAAAAACCAAACCAAAACAAAAGAAAAAAAAAACACAAGAAAATATTGCTAAAAAAATGCTAATCATCCTCTAAGCTTTCGGGGAGTTGTAATCAGTGATCACAGATCACCGTAACAAGTATCATAATAAGGAAGCAGTTTGTCCTTTAAGTAGTGACACGCCCCCCCCTCCCCGCCCCCGCAAAAATTTCATCGTTGCTGCTCACAGAGATTTGGTTCACCACAGTTCTTCTGGAAGATGTTAGGTTGACTGGGGCATGGAGATTTGGGATTTTGCAGAAGAGGACGGGAGAGCGTGATCCCGGGCTAACCTCCCCTCTGGGTGTTGGGCTTGTCGCCCCCCTAAAGTGTTGCCTAGTCTGCCGGTTCCACTGGATCCCGCGGAGAGCCGTTCTCCAGGCCTTTCTGAGGTAGCAGCCGCTGCAGTTTGGAGGCAGGACGCTAGGAAAGGGGAAATCCTTCCTGTGTTGCCAGTTGAGGGTCATTTTTACAGGGACTTGGGACGACTTTGCAATATCACTTCCCGTGGGCGTCCCCTTCACCCCTCAACCACAGGGGCAGACCCTGCATGACAAGCGTTGTGGGCAAATGCCGGCGACAGTGCATGCACCTGCACAGACACACACACACACACACACACACACACACACACCCCGTGAGCCTGCAGACTTGGCTTGGCATTCTGATGGGGGCGGTGGGGGCGGGGGGTGTGACGGGGGCAGCTGTTGTCCTGGCCCGAATCAGCACTGCCAGCACCGGGCAGGAACTCACTGCCCGTCGGCATCTCTGAGCTTCTGCCGCGGGTGGGTCTCTCGTTGCGTCGTGGAGATGAAAGGCAGAGACAAGTAGGAAGGGGCCGTCCCTGCCAGTGAGTCTGTGCTCAGCGCCCAAAGGGCGGGACACAGAGGGAGCCTCCGCAGTGAATGAATGGATGGGTGATCGAGCCATGTCCCCACGATCTCGCTGCTTGCTGGCACCTGGGCTGGGGCCCCCTGAGCCCGGTCCGAGCCCACACAGGGCCTCCCTTCTCCGCGACACAGGCGCCTCAGGGCGGCCCGCACTGATCCTCTCTTCCCAAGGCCCGGATTTCCGGATCAGCCCAGATTGCGCGTGTTCTGTCCTGTGGCCCCCTTGACATTCCTGGACCTGACAGGCCGTATGTGCAGGTTTCTAGCTGAGAAGGACGCCCTGGGAACATACTTAACAAAGGTTTGCTCTGGTGGCTGTGTCTGGCGCCTCATAGCGTGTCCAGGAGACTGGCTCTTTCTCTGAAGTTAGAGACTATCTGGGTCGGAAAGTCACGGACGGGAAATTTGGAGGCCTGGAATGCCAGGATGATGGACTCCGTGGGCCGCAGATCACTGTGGAAGGGCTGGGCCTGGGGAGGACCTGGGGGCGGGGGGCGCGGTCTCAGCCGGACCTTCTGACCTCCCTCCCTGACTTGCTTCTTCTCCCCAAGTGCCAAGCACCCTGTCCTTCCTGTGTTTTACGCACCGTGCTAATCGGTTGTGGGCTTATTCCCAGCCGTGCCCTGGGTGAATGGAATTCAGCGCTGTGTCCCCGGGGGTTGAGGGCAGGAAAGGACGTGGGCCGCAGCCCGAACACTCAAGTCTGTTGATTCCTCCCGGAACGCTGCCTTCTTTTGCGCCCCCTTATCCGTCCGGCACGGGAGCTCGGTGTCCGGCTAGTGTAGGAGCTGACTCGGCCTAGAAAAGAGGGAAGGCATTCGTGCCTTGCCTTCCCAACCGGACAATAAGCAGCACGAAAGCCTCTTCTCCTTCTGCGTATCTCCAGCGCTTAGCGCTGTGTTTTTCACCTGCTGCGTGCCCTTTGAATGCAGGCTGATCTACACTGGCTGTGTGTGAGTTTGTACCGTGGTCTCAACTCTCCCTGCCCAATCTATGGCTTCTGGTGCTGTGATTTAAAGAGTAAAACCGGCAGGGGCGCTTGGGTGGCTCGGTCGGTTGAGCGTCCGGCTTCAGCTCAGGTCGTGATCTCACGGTCCGTGAGTTCAAGCCCCACGTCAGGCTCGGTGCTGACAGCTCGGAGCCTGGAGCCTGCTTCGGATTCTGTGTCTCCCCTCTCTCTCCGCCCCTCCCCTGCTCATGCTCTGTCTCTCTCTCTCAAAAGTGAATAAATCTTAGGGGCGCCTGGGTGGCGCA